GTTCCATCCCATTCCCCTGAGCACGAGCAGCCACACTGTCACTGAGGGACACTCTGAGACATCTAGACAGGAAATTCCTCCTCTTTCTATTTTCTTCTCCTATCCAACCATCAGCCACTCAGAAGCTCAGGCATTCAAAAGAGAAAAAGCAGGAGACTTAGGCAGCACAAAACTGACACAAAGGTGTTCAAATGACCTGGCTGCCATATTGGAATGGGGAGCAAAGACTGGGAAGAGAGAGAGGGGAAAATAACATCAAGGGCAGCACACACACACACATTTTCCTGCCACATATAAAAGTTTCTCTCCTCAAAAGCAATCAAGTTGTTTTCAATTTGAACAACTAGATCTGTAAAAGTTTTAATTTTTTCCTGAATTGAACTGCACACCAAAATGTTCACCACTGCTTTAAAAATACTCTGCCCAGCACACCGCCTGGCACATGACATGAGGCAGATAGATGGATGGAGAAACGAACTCTTTTCTTCCTTATCAGCTGTACATCTGATATGGAGGATCTTGAAAAACAACACTTATGGATGGATGGCCACTCTGAGACATCTTCTTTTCAGCAGATGGCGCTCAGGGCACAAGCGTTACAGGAAAAAATGTAAATATCTTTTATAATTTGGAAGCATGAGGGAGAAGTCTTGCATCAAGATGTAACAATGTAAAAATAAAAATTTTTAAATCAAAGAAAGTAGTTCATTTTTACTAATCATTCTATTTAATCTTTTATTTAGCAGAAGAAGGGCTGACAAACAATTAAATATAGACTCTATCACATATTAACTATATAATCTTAGGGAGGTATACTCAGTTTTTTACCTTTAAAATGGAGAAAATAGTACCTACAATTTCTTAGGGTTGTTTAAAGAATGAAATACACTATAATGGCCAAACTATCTCAGATAGTCAAGAAGTATTTGAAATACACACACACACACACACACACACACACACACACACAAAGATACACTCTTCCAGCTTGACCTGAAGATCACACATAAATGTCCACAAAAGTCTGAGAAACAGTGAATATTTCCATCATCCTGCTTAATCTCAACAAAAATGCTTCTAAGAGGGTTTTCTTGATGTTCAAATCCTGTATTTACATTTTCATATGTTGGTCACTGAAAGCTTTCTATAAATAATAATCTAAGGTACAATCCCTTGAAGAACCTATGTGTTTTATACTTAGAAATTTTAATAAACTTTTTAAACATCTGATTCACATTTGGAATCTGGGTAGAAATTGAAGGTAGATGAATGGCCCAAATCTTTCCTACCAGAAATGACTCAGGCGGTATAGGCAGCTTCCCAAACCTACTTAGGATAAACCTTATTTCTTAATGGGAAAATAAATAGATTAAAATATTAGAAATTTCTTAAACCTATAAAAAGTGATGTGCATTTTAAAATGAAGTAATATTTTTTCTTATTTTTAAATTGAAATATTAAGTGCTCATAAACTTATACTCATCTACTTCATAAAGAGGTCACCATTCTGAACTATAAAACAATTAACATCATATACAAATGTGTCTTTACTAAGATAGTCTAGTAAAAATTCTGTAAAAATAGTCTCATAAACTTTTAGTTCATTTTGACATAATTCAATTTGGCCGTAAGAAAATTTAAGTTCATCTCCTATACTTGCATGGAAGCCAACTTTTATCATTTATTTAAAAATTTTTAAATCCTTTCAGCACTATATAATCTATCACCTTTCAAATCAAATGAAGTAATTACATAATCTTATAACTTTCCATGAACAGTTATTTTATCTCCAGTATCTATTAATTTGATTTTTATTCTCCTGAAGAGATTTTTTTTCTCCTTTATTCATTAACCTAATATGAAGGGATTGCCCAACCAGAACAAATAGCTGGTCCTCATTAAAAATATATTCTTCATCAAAAATATTTCTCTCAGAACCACTTCACTGTATTTAAATCCTATACTGAGCAGGGTTTAATTCAAGAAGGAATTAAATGAAGGGTAGAGGACCCTCCATTCTATACTATTATTTTACCTTGGTACTTAAGTTCTCCCACCCTAAGTTGTCCTACCTACAAAGTGGAGATATTAATTATCTCATAAGGTCAAGAAGGTTGTATGACAAATGGAGACAGCTACTATAAAAGGGCCTAAAATTGCTCACTAATAATTAATACAGAAATGCAATGTCACAAAACTAAAAGTAGCCAAAAAATTGCAATAGCTCTTTCTGTAATGCTCTGCAGATCTACACCCTTCAATGGCAACTTATATAATACTATTTGATCTTAAAAGAGTATCATTATCTAGAATTAGAGTTCTGCCAAAACACGCATGTTAATGACTGAGTAGGTGGCACCGTATCACCGATCCTCAAAGCAAAGTCTAGAACTTGGGTGATTGTACCGATCATGATAAAATTCTCAGTGAAAACTATAAAACACAAAATAGTGTAAGAAGAGTAAATCAAAATTCTTAGAAAAAAGGGGATGCTTCTGGGTCACAGTCCAACCTCAGTTGACTCCAGAAATCTGTCTTGGAGAATAAACTTCTGATACCAGCCTACTGCATCAATATTTACTTCTTACTACTTACACTGAGCAAACGAACAGTATTCTGGTTTCTTAAGGTTTTTTCTTTGATTACAATTAATCAAGGAATCTAAAATACTACAATATCAATTGATTTTCTATTATAGCATATTAAATGTATATAACTTACAACTCTACTACAATTTTTCCACCAGGCTTCTTCGAAGATGTCAATATTACGTGGTTCAGTTTCAAAATTAAACCTGCATTTTACTAATTATGTCTTTTGGTCTCAGAATTATTTCACACAGTATCTCTTTTAAGATGTCATTTTTTAAAAAAGCTTGGCATCGAAGCTGTCTAGTTTTATTACCCTTCCCAAGTATTATAATAGTTCCTCCTTTCACAGTGAATTTAAAATTTGAGTGAAACTTACTTTCTTGTATTGCATTAAGAATCTCTGAAAAGTCCACATCACTCTTTGGGCCGTCAGGTAGTATTTGCATATCGAGCTGGTAGCCTTGCAAATCCACACCTCCTTCTGGAGAAACGAAAGATATTCATGGAGTTTGCACTAGTTATTGGAGAGCCCAGCCTTGGGTCCCAAGGAGAAGGAATGTCACAGTCTAAATGAACAGCCAGCTGGATTGCCAAAGATCCTTCCTCTTAGGCAAATGACTTTTAAAAAAATGAGGAACAACATCAGCCATTTGCTCCTATAGAACCAAAATGATTTAATTGTATTTCCAATGCAAAAATAAGGCAATTACTTTATTAAAATACCACATACTTCATAGTATTTTACGGGTGATTTCCTGTGTGAGGAATAAAACTTGTTAGCCTCTTCAAGGACATTTAAATTATTTTCGGCTTCTACATGGCTAAAAAGTGACATTCAAAATAAACACTTTATACCTTATTCTTCAGAATTAAAATAATTCATTCTTTGGGATGAATTTAACATTCATGACATCATAGAAAACAAGTTCAATTTTTCCCCCACAGGTAGACCTCCCTGCTACAAATTAACATCATATACAAATGTGTCTTTACTAAGATAGTCTAGTAAAAATTCTGTAAAAATAGTCTCATAAACTTTTAGTTCATTTTGACATAATTCAATTTTGCCGTAAGAAAATTTAAGTTCATCTCCTATACTTGCATGGAAGCCAACTTTTATCATTTATTTAAAAATTTTTAAATCCTTTCAGCACTATATAATCTATCACCTTTCAAATCAAATGAAGTAATTACATAATCTTATAACTTTCCATGAACAGTTATTTTATCTCCAGTATCTATTAATTTGATTTTTATTCTCCTGAAGAGATTTTTTTTCTCCTTTATTCATTAACCTAATATGAAGGGATTGCCCAACCAGAACAAATAGCTGGTCCTCATTAAAAATATATTCTTCATCAAAAATATTTCTTTCAGAACCACTTCACTGTATTTAAATCCTATACTGAGCAGGATTTAATTCAAGAAGGAATTAAATGAAGGGTAGAGGACCCTCCATTCTATACTATTATTTTACCTTGGTACTTAAGTTCTCCCACCCTAAGTTGTCCTACCTACAAAGTGGAGATATTAATTATCTCATAAGGTCAAGAAGGTTGTATGACAAATGGAGACAGCTACTATAAAAGGGCCTAAAATTGCTCACTAATAATTAATACAGAAATGCAATGTCACAAAACTAAAAGTAGCCAAAAAATTGCAATAGCTCTTTCTGTAATGCTCTGCAGATCTACACCCTTCAATGGCAACTTATATAATACTATTTGATCTTAAAAGAGTATCATTATCTAGAATTAGAGTTCTGCCAAAACACGCATGTTAATGACTGAGTAGGTGGCACCGTATCACCGATCCTCAAAGCAAAGTCTAGAACTTGGGTGATTGTACTGATCATGATAAAATTCTCAGTGAAAACTATAAAACACAAAATAGTGTAAGAAGAGTAAATCAAAATTCTTAGAAAAAAGGGGATGCTTCTGGGTCACAGTCCAACCTCAGTTGACTCCAGAAATCTGTCTTGGAGAATAAACTTCTGATACCAGCCTACTGCATCAATATTTACTTCTTACTACTTACACTGAGCAAACGAACAGTATTCTGGTTTCTTAAGGTTTTTTCTTTGATTACAATTAATCAAGGAATCTAAAATACTACAATATCAATTGATTTTCTATTATAGCATATTAAATGTATATAACTTACAACTCTACTACAATTTTTCCACCAGGCTTCTTCGAAGATGTCAATATTACGTGGTTCAGTTTCAAAATTAAACCTGCATTTTACTAATTATGTCTTTTGGTCTCAGAATTATTTCACACAGTATCTCTTTTAAGATGTCATTTTTTTAAAAAGCTTGGCATCGAAGCTGTCTAGTTTTATTACCCTTCCCAAGTATTATAATAGTTCCTCCTTTCACAGTGAATTTAAAATTTGAGTGAAACTTACTTTCTTGTATTGCATTAAGAATCTCTGAAAAGTCCACATCACTCTTTGGGCCGTCAGGTAGTATTTGCATATCGAGCTGGTAGCCTTGCAAATCCACACCTCCTTCTGGAGAAACGAAAGATATTCATGGAGTTTGCACTAGTTATTGGAGAGCCCAGCCTTGGGTCCCAAGGAGAAGGAATGTCACAGTCTAAATGAACAGCCAGCTGGATTGCCAAAGATCCTTCCTCTTAGGCAAATGACTTTTAAAAAAATGAGGAACAACATCAGCCATTTGCTCCTATAGAACCAAAATGATTTAATTGTATTTCCAATGCAAAAATAAGGCAATTACTTTATTAAAATACCACATACTTCATAGTATTTTACGGGTGATTTCCTGTGTGAGGAATAAAACTTGTTAGCCTCTTCAAGGACATTTAAATTATTTTCGGCTTCTACATGGCTAAAAAGTGACATTCAAAATAAACACTTTATACCTCATTCTTCAGAATTAAAATAATTCATTCTTTGGGATGAATTTAACATTCATGACATCATAGAAAACAAGTTCAATTTTTCCCCCACAGGTAGACCTCCCTGCTACGCCATTTACTTTTCAGTTACACCAGGAAACTTATATTTATTCTGTGAAGTAATTAAGCCTCTTGTACTAGGTTTTGTCCGATGTAGTTTTGGTGTGTTTTTAAGGACAGAGGGTCTCTTACACTGCTCCACATACCTATAGAATATTTACAGAAGTCAAAGAAACCAAGATATCAAAAAATAGTTCTATCATTACCAATAATAAGCATCTGTATATGCTCCCTAAAACAATCAATAATAACAATAACAATCAAACATCTCCAATTTAAGGAGTCTGGAAAGGCTAAAAGCCAGTGCTAAAATAAACAGCCTGATGAATGAATGAGGTATGTCCTAGCATCCAGTATTTTTGTAAAAATAATTCTTTTGTAAGCCCAGGAATTATTCTCAGCCTTGAGTAAAATTTCAGTTACATCCTCAGAATGCAGAAAGAATAGGCACAGTTACTATCTTAAGAGGGATACTCATTCTAGGAGGGAAATGGACACAAGGAACTTCTGTCCACCTGACACAATCCAGCACTAGAACAGGGCCCAGCACAGAGTAGGTGATCAACAAATGCAAAGGGAATGAATAGGTGAGGTTATGCAGTGATTATGAAAAAGGCTGTAAGTAAAGCTCTAAGTGAAGCTCAGATTCTCGAGTCAGATGAACCAGGATTTAAATTCTTATTAGGTAACACTGAGTCTCTCTAGATCTTCATTTCCTCAGCTATAAAATAAGGGAGACAGTAGGAGTCTCACCGAGTAGACCTGAGGACTAAATGAGATAATACATGAAAAGATCTTTGATGTCACATGGTCGGCACTCAGTAAATGGAAGCCATTACTGTTAACATGCATAATAATTTATTAAAGCAACACTGGCATTTCTACAGAAACTATGGAGCTATTGAATAATGAGAAGGAAACCAGTGAGTCAGGTCTTTGGGACACAGGCACACCTTTCAGTGACTGTCAAGGCCCACAGACACAGCAGTGAACTTTTTAAATGCATGCACACTGTTGCCACATGGCAAAGTCTGAAGGTATCTGTGGAACTAAGTTTCCCAATGAGACAGAACAGACACCTTGCTGCCCAGAATCAAAATGGGTTATTTGCTTTTTGTCCCCCCACAGCCAGCTACTTTGAACAGGTATGGAAAAGTTCTGATGCTTTTCAGCCTCTACTAAGGCTAGTCACCTTTGTTCTGCTCAATAGCCAAAACTTCATAATAATAATAATGACAAAAAAAAATCTCTTTAAGAATATTCAGTACTGCCTAGAGGCCAGCTTTGGACCACATATTTTATCATCTCATTTAACCTTGACAAGGAGGTGCAGTAAGAAGGAGTAGTTTGTCCAAACTCACACTAGTACTAAATTATAAAGATGAAACAATCAATGCTCTTTACAAGTCTTTAATACTACCCATCTCCAAGCAGCCACAAATACAGATTATAAGAAATAAGAGAATTGGATTTACTGATAGACTCACACTCTAGGACTTGAGACCAAGCCAAAAGCTATTATACAACCTAAAAAGCAAATGACTCACTAAATAGACTAACAAACAGAAGCCCAATTAATTTGCTTGTCTTGGGAGATCATAAATTCACATTGAAGCAGTTATGACTACTAAATAACTACAATTTTAATAACTAAAATTCCAAAAATTTTTAATACATTTTTTTGTTATAGGACAGTATAGGAGTATAAGTCACAAAGAAGACAGTTAAAGCAGGTTATGAAAGTCTGTCTTTTAAGAATATTTAATGACAATTGAAATGCTTAAGATAATGAAAAAGGAAAATGGATACGAGGATGCAGATAAATATATAGGTTTCTTTCAGTTATATGACAAAAAAAAGTTTTACATAACTAGAAAAAGAAGACAGGAAGAAAATATACCAAATAGGTACAGAAGCTTTCTCTCAGTTGTGAAATTATTGGTATATTTTGTTTTATCCTTTTTCTCTTCCATGTTTTTCACAATACACATAAAATATTTTTATAATCTCAAAATCATTTAAAAATTCAGATGGTGGCAGTGGAGGACATTAAATATTTGAGTTCAGGATTCAAGACTTAAAAACTACAGATACTAAACCATTAAGGAACTAATTTAAGATTTTCTAAATTATTTCAATTCTTAAAATGTGTAACTCGCATAGCTCCAAATTGCAGGATGCAACATTCTCTTCACAGTAAACATTAAGATCACATTGAGAGCCCCTAAAATATAAGGTATTTTTCTTCTGCTGCTCTAGAAATATGAAATGCACGTTCATAAAGTATAATGGCCTGGAATTTCTAGCAGTATGTCATTCATTAAAGTCTAACATGACAAAGTAGAGAGTGCTGTTAAAGAAAAACTGCTATAAACTTTCCTAAATAGAGTGATCACTGTGTGAGGACATTGTCAAATGAATCCTCCAAGGTGATCACCTGCATCTTTAGCACATATTTTCTAAGTAAAAGAGACTAAATGACTTCAATGTATGAAAAGTTGTATGCCTACTCTGAATTTTCAATATTTATTTATTATTAGTCCTGTAGTTTTGGTGTGGGTTTTTAAAAGAGAATCAGAGTTCTTCCCATTGTCACAAATGTCTCTGACTTCGAGTCAAACCACAAAGCTCTAAAAAGTGAGGCAAAATGACGATGTCATGGATTCCAAGTGAGGGCTCTTAAAAATAAAATACAGCTGACCCTTGAACAATGCCAGGGTTAGGAGACCAATCTTCTGCGCGATTGAAAATCCACATACAACTTTTGACTCTTCAGCAAGTTAACTGTTAACAGCTTACTGTGGATGAAAAGCCTTACTGATAACTTCTAACAGTTGATTAACACGTCTTACATGTTATGTATATTAAATAGTATATTCTTACAATAAAGTAAGCTAAATAAAATGTTTTTTCAACCTGTTGCACATCTCAAAAAATCTTTTCCAACATATTTACTGAAAAACACCCATGTTTTAGTGGCCTCACACAATTCAAACCTGTGTTGTTCAAGGGTCAATGGTATAAACCCCATCCAACGCAAGTAAGTACAATCTCACGGATAAAAGACAAATAAATTACATTGAAGAAGGAAAGTACAAAGATTCCTAAAGAAGCAAAGAACATACTGAACAATTTTTAAAAAATCAAAAATATCTACAAAATTCATGGGGTCTCCAAATTTGGCTTTAGCTTTTCTCATACTTGAATGATAAGAATTATTACACTCAAATCTTAATTGTGATTCTCTAGTGTGAGCAAAGTTGAAGGCAGTTTCAATAAAAAGTAACCTTAGTAACAACATTTACATTTATTAAAAGATTTTCAGCTGAGCAAATGATATCTTAAATTTTCATTTTAGATCTGTATCTTGCTTACATGGGATGTTTCTCAGTTAGCATGTATGTCAATGCCTCTTCCAGCCCATTTCCGTCTTCAGAAATGCCTACTTTTGAGGCCCGTCTAAAGTGTTCTGCTTCAGGAAGCATTTCTTGATTCTAACAAGTAAATACCATCTTCCACTCTTTGAACCCATACAGCTATCTATATTTTATCTTTTTTTATGGTACATGTTTTCCATCAAAAAGTAAGGCAGGTGAAGTACCTAACACAGTATGGAATAGTCACAGACAAAATATAAGTTTCTATTTCTCCTCATTTAGATTGTTTCCTCATCTCTAGCGCCCTCAATTAGACTATAACATGATGGAGCCCTGGGACCAAACTATCTATATCCACCTTTTTTGATCCACAGAACCTACAAGACCTCAAACACATTAGATGCTCAGTTAATCCTCTTACTGCGATTTCACATTACCAGTAGCTGTCAGGGACATAGACTAAGGCAAGGTCCCAGTTTTCCTTCCTCGTCCACAACTTTAAGGCATCTTGATAGGTTATTTAAAGATGATATGAAAGACATACTCCAGAACACACACTTGTTCTTTGTAAGATCTTATCAAATTTTCTCAAATAAAAAATAAAGAAAATTTGAAGTACCAAAGGGCTTATCATAAAACTAATAGTTGCAAACCCTATCCCTTTCTCAACCCCAGCCCAATCCCCAATACAATCGATTCCAAGAATTGGTATTTTTATTTCTTTTGGGTATCCTTATGTGTGCATCCCATTGCTTCTTGATCAACTGTATGTAGAACTTACTGTTTTCTACTGTGATAAAAGACAAGGTAACTTATATTACTGCCACTCCCTGTTGCCCTTCACCCACCCATCAAATCACTATTCTTATTCTATCACCTTGGTTTAGTAACATTAAATATTTAAAATTAAATTCCTTGTTCAATCAAATACAGACAGATCTTGTTTTTGCACATTAACACAAAGTGGTAGAAAAGGAAGATTTTGATACTCCATTGACCTGGATTTGAATTCCATTTTTATGTGACCACCAAACAATGGGCTTCATTTTTCTCCTTTATAAAATGGAAAGGATGAAGTTTTTTGGAGGCTCTCTAAAAATTTATACACAATTGTTTACACATATGTAAATAATTTGGCTCATAGTGTTAGATC